GAAAAAAACTCCTTTATATCCAACTAACTTCAGCCAGCTACTTTTGCCCGCGTTTCAGTGGATAAAAAGTAGCCCAAGTATTATTCCAGACCTTAATCTACGCCTATTCCAAATCTTGATGCCTTCAAACGTTCTAACGTAACAAACAAACGTACTTACGATCTTTTGTTCATTTATAATATTAGTAGGATATATCAATGTTTTTAACTCTGCTTAGTTCGTAACTTCAAAATAATTCCGTTGGAAAACGATTTCATACTTTATTGGATCTACGAAACATTTACGTAATACATTTTCGTTCCGACTATACAGAAACGCCTTTACATGTGTCTACGGTAACATATTCTCTGCAAAAGCACTTTGCCCAATAACTTTTGGTAGTGACAGTACTACGTTTGTTGGCAAAGTCCGCGTCGTCCAATTGTGTCATGCGCTAGTCACTTGGGAATCACGTAGGATTGGAAGTCTTATTCCCTAACTCCGATTGCGATCAAAATAGATTTCGCTTCAACTAGCCAGTAGGTTTTTGGTGTTTCCTAGTTCATTTTTAGCGACGGCGATGTAGTGAGATAATTTGAACTAGGCATGCTAAAGAGAAAATGTGATTCCTTTACTAAACTCATGTGACAACCATATCAAACCTTCACACTTAAATTTTAAAAAAGAACCATTAGTTTCACCGACGTTTTCTGTAAAATGGTAAAAAACATAAATCAAGAATTTATTACTTACATTATGTTCCCAAACAACTTTGTAGGCAGGCGGATTGGCATCCACCTTACAGCCGAAGTACACGTCATCACCCTCCTCAATGTCATTCGGGTTCATCTTAGCCCCAAGGTGAATCTTTGCTTCTGGCATATCTGTTCACAAACAAATTACAACCTTAAACCCTCATCCATAAATGTATATTTCAAATAAATATTTCCGCTTTGATGAAAGTAAACATGAAATAAAGTTCTAAAAACGGGTACAAAATTGCGGTTCAACTGTTACATCGGATAAAGTGTTGTTCATTTTGTATTGGCTGTTTAATAACTTAATACTCTTGTAATCTTGGCTTTTCGGGGAACTGGAATCGCTCAAAAAGGTTTTATTTACAAACATTTTGGGGTACATGTTCAAATTAAGTGGTAAGCAAAAAAATGGAGAATAAACCCTGATAATTACATGTACGAGAAAGCGGCAAGCTTACGTACTTACATACATAAATATATTCAGGTTTTTGTACCATAGGGATCAGTGAGCAAGTAAATATCTGTATATATCGGAGTACCATCTACTAGAATACTTCATTTGCATGCTCCTTTTTCGGAATAAAACGTTTATATGACTAAATATTTTTTTTAGGGACAAGCACGTCACACCCTACCAAGACCGCTGCAACTCCTGTAAGCCAGAATCTACAGTAGATACAACCATGAAAACACCGGAACACTGAAGTCCGTGACGTTCTAGGGACACGAATAACTGTCTTGGTTCCTGCAACGAAGTGAATCAGAAGATATTATAAGAGGAGAAGAAAAAAATGACTAGATATTATGTATTTTTTAACATTAACACTAGGATTTTCTCCTGTGTCGTAGGTGGGTGTACAAATATACAATTTCACATAGTATACATCACACTCAGACCCAAAGCAACAATTTGTGGATCAGACAAAGAGTTGCTCCGTGCAGGAATCACACCAGCTACACGTTGCACGGCAGCCGGTTGCCCGCCACCGCGCCAACCATGTAGTCAATTATTCAATTGTAAAGTATTGAATTTTATAGCTTTAGGCATTTCATAAAGTAGGAAAACATTGTTCTACATTGAATTTTAAAATCAGTATGAGTATCAACAATATTTTTATTGTATTTGTGAGCCTACAAAATAATGTTACTTATACAGTACCTCGATTATTTTATTCATGAATCTATATTCGGTTTTACTTCTAAGAATCGAAAATCCCTCATATCGTTAAACATTTCACATGAATTGTTTATGTATAAGTTTCTCGTTATTGGGAATTAATCTCATTATATGAAAATAATTGTTAGTCCGAAACTAGAAATCGATCTCTCGTTGAAATCATTAATTGTATAGTGGTCATAAAATACTGTTTCTAACCGACTTCAAAAAAGAAAGAGATTTGAGAATCTCAAGTTAAGAGAAAATGTTTGTCCTGTATGTATGTGCGTATGTATTCCTATTTGTGCGCAAATATATCGCGATTGGCCGAACCGATTTTGATGTGATTGGAAAAGTGTAAAGGTTACACTTAGGAAAAAGGTTTTAGTAATTTGATTATCCGACTTCATAAAAAGAGGGATTGAGTCGGTTTTCTTTAACGTAGTCTATTAAAGAATTATTATTGCAAAAAATCTTGGGCTTTAAAGCAATATAATTATTTTATTATCTTTTTCTCTACCCACATACATTAGCCGGGATAATGAACAACTAACATTTTTACTCATCAAATTTTCATGAAATCAGAATTGTTAATATGAAACCTATACAAATAACTTTAATTTTCTAATAATAATTTTGAATGGGTTACTGTACATTCAATTAGAAAATCATTCTTGTACTGTATTCTATAACAGAAACAAACTCAAGCACTCAATTGTTTAAATTCAAACCTTTCACCAAAAATCATAAAGTTGCTATTCAAATAACCCTCGCACTCAAAGGTTCTCGTTTGAACTTTTGCCTATCTCCCAAGAAATACAGAAAGTCGTAATTCTTAGTGTTCATAACAATAAAACTTAGTGTGTTCTCACACGACACGAGGTAATAACAGTACCAAAGTTTATTACTCTTGGCGTACACTACGATATATTATGTGCAAATATTTTATAATTATTATCATAACATCAGTATGCTTATTCTCTTCAAGAGATGACTAAAAGTGTATTTATAGTTCATCTCCGTTTTTGCTAGTGATGTTATGATTCCTATGTAGCAAGAGGCAATCTTACAAATCATCATCATAATCAACAGCCTATAAGTGCCCACTGCTGAGCAAAGCCTCTTCTAGCACGGAGAAGGTTTGAGCATTTATCACCACGCTTGCTCAATGTGGGTTGGCGATTAAAAACTTATAATTAGAAACTATAAGCCCAGGTTTCCTCACGATGTTTTCCTTCACCGGTTATTATCAGTCATGTCTAAATAGTCTTAGAAAGTACATATAACTTGGAAAAAGTCACATTGGTACTTGCTGTTGATAAGTATTAAGTATTGAACCCACACGCTCATGCATGAGAAGTGGTTGTCTTAGACCTCCGAGCTACCACTTGGCATACATCGAGTACAAATATAACCTGATTATCTTAAAAATGCTAAACTCAAAAAGACTACTGGCTTTAAACCTAAAATCAAAACCAAGAAGTCTGATTATCATTTTTTGAAGGTGATTCGCGGTACCTTAAACTGTCAAACACCAAGCGGAAACTGGTGACCGCAACCTATTGTTCTATAATTGTGTCTATAATGGCGGTACTCGACGAGTTATGTGGTAGTCGCTCTTTCAATCACTTTATTGACGAGACAGCCATAATTAAATCTTGTGACAATAAAGTATGATTGCAAAACGTTAATTTCTAAACTACTTTAGACACAATAATTTAAACTTCTAAATAGTTTGTACCTATTCTAACTCTAAACTCCTTATTTTACTACTTCCAAAGACTATAACAAAATAGTTTCACTACCGAGTTTCTGCAAATATCTACCGACTACGGTGTGTAATCAAAGCACGGTTTTTATATAGAAACGAGGCCGTTGTAAGTGCTATCGTTAAAATAACTGTTTCTCCTCTCATTAGGAAGCTCACGATTGTACGAAGGTACGAAGAGTTTTACGATCCCCTTCCATTTCCTTCCACTTATCGCTGGTTGTGGCTATCATCAGTTCATTAATGTGTATTTTATATTTTTTACTAGGTTTGTTATATTTTATGTGTTCTTTGAGACCGCTAACGGCATATGTATCTACACAATTTTATCGATTATATCAGTTTCATTTAGGCTGCCTCGTTGGTCGAGTGGTCGCAAGTGCGACAGCCGGGCAAAGTATTCCTGGGTTTAAAAAAATATCTCAATAGTAGCACAGAGTCTAGAATTGTGCCCGGTATATGACAATAAGGTCACCCGCTATTACATGGTACTCATAATATAAATAGTGCAAAGTGGGTGTTACATTGTACATAGGCATTAAGTCTCGTAATGTGCACCTCTGCCTATCCCTTGGGGGGTAAAAAGCATGATGTCATGTTATGTTTCATTTGCTCGATGCTGTAGGAGCAGTATAATAACTAGACTATAGATTTAACCCTACATTAAACTGTCAAACACCAAGCGGTCACCGGTAACCGCAACCTATTGTTCTATAATTGTGTCTGTATTGACGGTACTCGACGAGTTAATGCAGTTAATCTCTGCTAAAACAGTACACTAGTTTTCTGTTTTCTTTAAGAGATAAATAGAGTACCTATATGTTGTTTCTGTCTATTAAAGATACTATGTAACTTTCACCAGGTTATATAAATCTACTCCAGAGGTATATTTATTTATTTTTAACGCACTATATGCTTTTCACTA